GTCACCTGCCTGCCTTTTGCCTCCTTGGCCTCCCTGGGCTGCTCCCACAGGCCCAACTTGCCTTGAGGGTCTGGAAGTACTGCAGCGTCTCCCTCTCATAGAGGAGTGGGTCCAGTGCCCGCATGAGGAGGATGATGGTGAGCAGGCACCCTGAGGGAGGGCAGGAAATGGAGCTACCTCTGCTCCCATCCTTGTGAGACCCTTCCTGCTCTCAAGTGGCTGCCTTACAGAGGGTTGGCTTAGAGGGACTGTGGGGAGCAGCCTTTCAGGGAATGCACCTTACATTTATTCTCAGGCTCCAGCTCCTGTAGCTCCTTACAGGATTTGAGCTCGGACTGCAGCACTGTGGACTTTTCCACTGACAGCTCACACCTGAGGGTCGGGAGGGAGCAGGTGATGCCCACGGCCCTGGTCCTCCCCAGCATTCAGTCTCAGACCATGTCCCTCGGGCCCAAGCCGCCCATTCCAACTGCCTGATGCCAAGTGCAGAGCCCTTTTCCTTACCTGTGTGTTTCTTTGTCATTACCTGAATAGTTGCTCGTCGGTGGCTGAGTCCCGGCACCAGGCCTCCTGGCGGCCTAAGGAAAAGGTCAGGCAGTAGCAGAAGAAGGGAGTGGGGGCTGCTGCTGCGGGGGTGGGGACCGCAGGCTGCCTCACCTTTGAAAAGCACACACTCCTTCTGGGCGTCACCTGCTGTCCAAACAACACGAAATGTATGCTGGGGCAACTGGTCATTGAGGGAGCCAGCAGGCAGGTCACAGAGCTGGGAGCACTGGGTCAAGGAAATGCCCCGACCTCACCACTTGCTGACTCTCCCACCCTGTTCCTGCCCCAGGCCCTCATATCTGCCCCATGAGTCCTGGGATACCCAGACATGGCTGGGCCGGTTCCTGCCATCTGGGGTCCTCCACTCCACAATCAGAGGTGACTCATCAGCCATGAGCAGCAGGGTCTCTGTCCCAGAGCCTACCTGGCACAAGAAACAAAGACAAACCCATCAGCTATTACAGCCTTAGGTCCACAACTCCATGATGCTCTTTAGCAAAAGCCATGAGACTCACTAGGAGGGGCCGAGAGAAGGAGACGGTCAGACAGGCTTCATCCCGGCTCACATGCAGGCAGCGCAGAGCATCCTGGGGGTCAGCTGTAGGGACACACAGGTCTCCTTAAATCTGCTTCCATTCCACACTCAGCCTCCTCCCCTATTGCTTACCTCGGCCCAGGAGCCAGCGGTGGTAGAACCAGGCACTCTGATCATTGGGGTCAGTGAAGAAGGCATTCTGTACCAACTCCAGCTCTGCAGAGGCCAGGGAGGCAAGGGCTTTGGTCAGCACGCTGGTGGCCACCCAAGCGACCCAGCCCATTTTCAAGTACCTTCAGCTCTTAATCTCATCTATTCCTGGCCTTGTGCAGGGGCTGCACATGTCAGTTCTGTGCTCCCCATCAGGCACCTGAAGTGCTTGCAAACAGGAACTGAGTCTTTGCACCCCCAAAGACAGGCATGAAGTAAGTGTTCAATAAACCTAAGTGATAGGTTCAGGAAAAGGGCCAGGTAGGCACCACAGGGCTGCAAAGGTGGCACAGCAGAATTCTCTCCTGGACCCTCTGGTCTTGCTTACCTTTGAGCAGCACATCTTCAGGGAGGCGCCCCTGTGGGCCAGAGTCTGGCTGGGGGTGCAGCTGAGGCAAGAGGCAGGAGCGGTAATGCCAGGAAGAGTAGTTCGAAAAATTTCGGGTGATGAGACTGTCAGTGAAGGCTAGCTCCTCTGCAGGGGGCACAGCCGCCTGTGCAGCCACAAACCGTCGATAGTCCCAGCAGTGAA